TCCCGGGCGCGAGAAACAATCGGACGGGGCGGCACCGCCCCACGCGCAGAGTAGGGAAAACGACTGGTACCGATGGGGTCCCTGGGTGGCCCTGCCTCCCCCGACCCCCGACGTCGTGATTTTCCCATACATGGAGGAGGCCTCGACCCACTCAAATCCCGGACCAGCCTCTCGCCCTGAGCAACTCGTGGACGGCCCCGAAGCCCGGGAGAAAGGGCCCCCGGAGGCCGAAACTGGGGAGAACTCCTGTCGTCGTGGGTTTCTCATGACTCGAGGGGGGTATGTTTTTTTTGTTTTTCCCTTTCAGCCTCAATGTGTTTTCCTGCAGGGACTGGGGCGGCGACAGCCTGCAGAAAGACGCCCTGCCAGAGTAGGGCGGGGATGCAGGGCCAACTGCAGGGATCCTGCAGCTGGAAAAGCAGCAAGCTCACAACTCAGGAGAAAAGGCGGCCCTCTCCAGATCGGCGGTGTGCCTCCTCCGAGGGAAAAAGGTCCCGATCTCGGCGATGGTGGTAATACTATGGCTTCCAAGGTGGCCGAACTATGACCACCAGCACCGAAAATCTAGGATCATCTTCCCCCATGCGGAGGCAACCCTCTTGAGAGGGTCATGAAACAAACGTTCAAACACATGTTATGCCTATCTGTGCATATGCGGTCTGGCAAATCGGGGCGGCATCAACGCGACGCCAAGAGGCGTCGTGGACTCGAGCCATTGGCCTGGAAGCACGACGCGCACGATTACCCATATCATGAAATTCTGCAACCGGTCACTGTGTTCTGGGGGGGTGCACGTACACGCAGAACACTGTTCAGCTAATCGTTAGCTGGCGCCCGCCTCAAACTCATGCCCCATCCCCCGCCGCCTTCCAAGATCCCTTCGTTTAGGCCCCACTCTCCTCATGCCCCTCCGATAACCCCCGGTCCTCACCATGCCCCTCATCCACGTTGTCACCCCCCCACGTGCCAATTCATGTCGTTCCTCGTCGTCCTCCTCCGCCGGATTACTGTAGTTCCCACTATCGTCCACATGCCTGCCCTCCTCCCATCCTCGACGCCCTAGTGCACATTATGCCCCCTCCATGTGCCCCTCCCCGCCCCCTCGTCCTTGTGATGCTGACGCCGATGATGCAGCTCCTCCTGAACACGTTCCCTCCCCTCTCGTCCATTCCGGTTCATCCCTGGCCTCTTGGCCGCCCCTCCTATCGAACCCCTCTCTTCCCACGGCCCACCATCCCACTTTTCTGCGCCTTTGCATGCCCAGACTGCCCCCTGGTGGACCAGCTGGGAAACTCGCGGAAAATTCCCGCCCAGTGGCCACTCCGCCGAGCGGCGCGCGACAGATGCACAGTTGGAGACACGAGCTGTGTATTTCGACTGCGTACGACGCCCCCCCTAGACCAGCCGAACGAAAAACGTGAAAGTTCCCGCCCAGTCAACACCACCCGCGAGGCGCACACTCCAAATACACAGATGGGAGCGAGATCTGTGTACACAGATCACACCACGATCTGTGTAAACAGTGGGCCCACACACGAAAATACACAGTTGAAGACACAAACTGTGTACACAGATCACACCTTGATCTGTGTATTCCGGAAAGGTGAGCGCTCGCCACCTCGAGGGCGCCCCGACTTTGCCAACCCAGAACCGAAGTCGACATGCCCAGCTGGGGGGGGGTGCAAATACACACTTCCCCGGCCCAGGGCGCCCCCGAGGGAGCTGCAAATACACGCTTCCCTGGCCCAGGGAGGCCGCGGTGAAACGCGGCGCCAAAGCGACCCCCAACGGACCGAAGATGCCCCGAAAAAGGCCTCGGAAGACCCCGAATGATGCCGCGCAGAAATCCGAAAACACGAGAGGTGTCACATGCCATGGACCTCTTAACAGTCAAAGCTCCCCGCGTCGCCATACAGACCGCTGTGCTGGTAAAGGGGCGGGCCTTGCCGCAGGCACCTATAATTTACATGTTAGCGATGCGACTGTGCTCGGCGGCCGTGCCGCCCGCGTTTGGAGTGCGCCCCGAACGCTCGCGTTGTCAATCGCCTCTGTTTGGTTGCTCCGCTGTGCTCGGATATCGAAAAGGCGATATACCACTGATGCGGGCACGCGGCACCAGGGACTCCACTTTTCGAAAATGGATGGAAGACGAGGTAGGACGACGGACGGTGGAGCAGGGAAGCAAAGAGGAACAAGGAATAATGAGGGAGGTGGTCAGGGGCGCTCCCCCGCCCGAGCCGCGGACGCTTTCGACATCATCCAGGGGAGGGAAGAAAGGGGAACGGAGCAAGGGCGAGACCGACGACGGGAAGCAAACTGTCCTGGGTCCGCATATAGCCATATGATTGCAATTCGGGCGCGCGCGCGCGCTTTCTTCGAGGCGCTTCAAGCCCGACCCATACTGAATTCACGAATTCCTCCAAACTGTGTAAACACTCTGTCCTCTGTTCCCCCTCCTATACAACTGCATCAGACCAGAGGGGCAGTGGATTCCAACAACCCTCTGTCTTGGTGTTGGTGCCAATTTCCAGGCCCCCGAAGGAGGGCGAGGCGGGCGAGAGACAAGGCACCCCCACGGCGGAAGGCCGTGGCGAACCGCCCCCGCCGCAAACAGGCGGCGCCGCCCCGCGGCCGGGAGCGCGAGGAGGGGGCGCCCGCCCTCTGGGCCAGAGGACCTCAAAGTCCGACCTGGGCCAGAAGAGCATCCCTCAAAAAGGAGGAGGAGCAGGAGCAGGAGGAGGAGGAGGAGGAGGAGGAGGAGGGCGAGACGGGCGAGCGACAAGGCGCCCCCACAGCGGAAGGCCGTGGCGACCCCCCCCCCGCCGCAAACCGGCGGCGCCGCCCCGCGGCCGGGGCCCGCGAGGAGGGGGCGCCCCCCCTTCTGGGCACAGAGGACTCAAAGTCCGACCTGGGCCAGAAGAGCATCCCTCAAGAAGGAGGAGAAGGAGGAGGAGGAGGAGGAGGAGGAGGAGGAGGAGGAGCAGGAGCAGGAGGAGGAGGAGGAGGAAGAGCAGGAGCAGGAGGAGGAGGAGAAGGAGGAGGAGCAGGAGCAGGAGGAGGAGGAGGAGGAGGAGGAGGAGGAGGGAGGAGGAGGAAGGGGAGGTGGGGGGAGAAGGAGGTTTTAGGACCAGTCCTATTCACCGCCGAGTGAGAATGGGGGGGGGGGACAAACCAAAAGACCCTTAGGGGTTACAGGCGGACCGAGGCCAGAAGAACATCCCTCAAGAACATGAAACCCTCCGCCGGCCAACAAACACCCAGAGCATCCAAGGGTACCACCCAGGATGCACAAAACCATCCAACGAGCACGAAGAACAGCAGGGTTAGCCTCCCCGAACAGACCTCGATCTTAGACCTCGGTCCGACTGCACAGAGGCCGGGTCGGACCAGACGTGAGAGGCGTCAGGAAGTGTCAGGAGGCGCAGCAGGGTGCGCGGGTCAGGGCCTGCGAGCGAGCCTCAGCACTCCCCTGCAATACACCCTGCGAAATGCTTAAGAAATCATGGGTTAAGAAATTCATAGTCTCAGAACTTGCATAAAAACCCAAAATTTCCATCCACACATTAGGATTTACATTGAAACATTAAGAATCATCGAGACTCTGGCCGAAAATTTAAGTTTTCTTAAGCATCGCCTAAGGTGTATAGGTGAACTGCGTACACGGCTCATGCTAGTCGCTGTTATCAGGAATGTTACTGCCTCAGACTCGGGGTGACGCAGGAGGTCACTCGGCCGCGTCGGCCAGAGGGCGGACAACAGGGGAGGCGAATGCGGTTGGCGTTGAAAGATAGCGAGCAACATCGAACTCTGAAAAGCACCCTATCCCTGTGAGGACATCCCCCCCTGCGGCCGCCCCTTTTTGCGCACGCTACTCCCCTGCCAGGGCGTCTTCGGCGCCCGCCATCCCCTAAGGAAAGGGAACAGCGTGAAATAAACGGGCTAGCAGCGTCACATCGCACGCGATTTTTCCAACGCGAGCCGGAGGGTTAAGCGAATCAGCTCAAGCGGCTCGAGATCTCGGCGCCTCCCAGCGTCCAGGGTGCCCGTGTATATCGAGGAAAGCGCCTGGCGGCGGGGCCGACGCTGGCTGCACGCAGCACACTTTGCAACGACCCCACATTTCCCTATATGTATCCCCCCCCGTGGCCCGACCTGAGAAAAGGCCAGAGCGCGGGAGGGGGGAGGAGGAGGAGGAGGAGGAGGAGGAGGAGGACGAGGAGGAGGAGGGGAGGAGGAAGAGGAGGGGGAGGAGGAGGAGGAGGAGGAGGAGGAGGGAGGAGGAGGACGAGGAGGAGGAGAGGAGGAGGAGCAGGTCAGGTCAGGCCAGGTCAGATCAGATCAGACTCACATGGGGGCATACATCCACTTCGAGACCACCACAGGCGGAGGAGGAGGAGGAGGAGGAGGAGGAGGAAGAGGAGGAGGAGGAGGAGGAGGAGGAGGAGGAGAGGAGGAGGAGGAGGAGAGAGGAGGAGGAGGAGCAGGTCAGGTCAGGTCAGATCAAATCAGACGCATATGGGGGCATACATCCACTTCGAGAACACCACAGGCGGAGGAGGAGGAGGAAGAAGAGGAGGAAGAGGAGGAGGAGGAAGAGGAGGAGGAGAGGGAGGAGGGAGAGGAGGAGGAGGCGCCTTCGCGCCCTGCACTTGCCGAGGAAACGACGTCGGGGCGGGGAGGGGAAGGGGAGGGGCGGAGGAGGGGAGGACCGGGAAGGAGAAGAAGAAAGAGGAGGAGGAGGAGAAGAGGAGGAGGAGGAGGAGGAGAAGGAGGAGGAGGACGAGGGAGGGGAGGAGGAAGTTGAGGTTCCCTCACTCCCGCGGCTTTTACTGAGTGAGGGGGGGGGGGGGGGAAGGGCACTCTTCGAGCAAGAGCCTCGCTCTCCGCCCCTCCCCTGCGGCCGCGCCCTCGCCCCCCATCCGCCCACAAGGGGGCGCCGGCCTGAGCTGGGCGGGCAGCCGCCGATCCGATCGCCAGCAGCGCCGCCGGCACATTTCCGCCTGGGCATGGGCGGGCGAGCGGGAGCAGGAGGGAGGAGGAGGAGGAGGAGGAGGAGGAGGAGGAGGAAAGGAGGAGGAGGAGAGGAGGAGGAGGAGGGAGGGAGGAGGAGGAGGAGGAGGGGGAGGGGGAGGGGAGGGGGAGGGGGAGGGAGGGAGGGAGGGACTGGGAATAAGAGGCAGCGGGGCGAAACGAGACGAGGCGGGAGGCGGCGGCGGGAGGCGGAGCTCTCTGCCCCCCTTCATTCTGCCCCCATTCGCCCTTTGGTCCAGGTGCCCTCTTGCACCCTGCTCCTCGGCGAAAGTGTCTCCCTCATGCTCCTCCTCCTCCTCCTCCTCCTCCTCCTTATCCACCTCCTCCTTCTCCTCCTCCTGCTCCTCCTCCTGCTCCTCCTCCTCCTCCGGCTCCATTTCTCCTCCTTATAAATCGTTTCTCCCTGTCGCACCCCGAGGCCAGTTTTCAGGGCGGGCGGGGCGTTTCGCCCGAGACCTCCTCATCATCGATGACTCTGGAACTGAAAGCATCGCAGCAAGTTCACAGATGGAGGGCGGGCCGTCTTCAGAACGTGGCTCTCGCCGTAGCGCCGCGCACATTCGTCTAAAACGTTGCAAGAGGTTCGCTGGTGGAGGGCGGCCCGTCCTCAGCATCCGGTGTCCGCTCTGGCGCCGCGCAGCACATTCGTTCTGGAAGGACGGCACGGGCTCCACGGATGGAGAGGGCGACCCGCTTTCACACGGTGGCTCCTCGCCTCAGCGCCGCGGGCACTCGTTTTTGACCCTCTGCACAGCGCTCCGCGGATTGAAGACAGCCCGCTTTCAAAAGGTGGCCCTCGCGTTAGCTCCGTGCGCATTCGTTTCAACAAATTGCACAGCGTTCCGCGGATTGAAGACAGCCCGCTTTCAAGAGGTGGCTCTCGCGTTAGCTCCGTGCGCATTCGGTCTACACATTTCCAAGAGCTTCACGGATGAAGGGCGTTTTCTTGTCAAACTGTGGTTCTCGCCTTAGCGCAGCGCACACTCGTGTATAAACATGTGCGAGAGTTTCGCGGATGCTCAGTATCTGTGTTTGGGAAGGGCTCGCGATTATGAGAGTCCAACAGTTACGTTGATTCGCGGTGCTGAAATCCCCCCAAATAGCGTTCTGGCACGACTCAAGATCGCCAAGACGCAACCGTCAGGTTGATTCGTGGCGTTGGAATCCCGAAAACTATGTTTTGGCGTGCCGTAAGGTCTTCCAACGGTTGTCTTCATACGGGGCAATTCCCTCAATGGCACTGAACCGTTGTAGGGGCCGGCGAAGAGGGAACTTAGAGGGATGGTTTATTCCAACATCGTTGATGACTCGTGGGATTCCACTGGTCCTCTTCCTCCTCCTCCTCCTCCTCCTCCTCCTCCTCCTCTCGGGCGCGCGCTAACATGGATTAGGGATACGTGGATATGGTGCGCGGTCGCCAGATCCATGGATCGGAGAAGGTACACCCGAGAAATGGCGCCAATGCCGCCCGATTTGGTGGCGGAGCGCGCCGATGTCGCATGGAAACGGGACCCGTCGCTAACCCACGCGCCTTAATCCATGGTTGTGTTTCCTCGATCCTCCTCCTCCTCATCCTCGAACTCCCCCCCGCGCGATCTGCGATGGTGGCAGATGTGTCCGAGGACTTCGGGCTCCTCCACCTCCTCCGTCCCCGCCCCCTTCAGCACGAGCCCTCCAGATACTTCCGACGGGGTGAGGAACGTGAACATGAGGAGGTGGAGAAACAGGGCCAGGGCGGCGTTCGGGAAGGAGGAGGGGGATGGAGGAGAAGGATGAGGAGGAGGAGGAGGAGGAGGAGGGGGAGGGGGGGGAGGAAGAAGAGGAGGGGGGTGAGGGGGTTGGATCGGATTCTTGCTGACATCCACCGCGGCAAAGCAGCCCACGCACGCCTTGTGACCTGGGCAGGGCCACAACAGGAGTCGAGCGAGGTCCTCGCTCGCCTGCTGGGCTGGAGAGGACGGACGGCCGACGAGGCCAGCAGGGACACACGCTGCGAAGGCCAACCCAGCGGAAGAGCGCAGGCAGGGTGCCACCGAACCGCCGCCAAGGGGGCTGGTGGGACCCCACTGTCGGGCCGGGCGAACGGGGGGGACAGCACAGGGGGTATTTGAAAAAAATCAGCTCGCGTAGCTGATTTTCCCGGCGCCTCCCGGCGCCGGGAGGCGCCCATGTATCGAGGAATGTGCCCGGCGGCGGGGTCGAAACCAGCTGCATGCAGCAAATTTCGTGACCCCCCCTTTCCCTATCCCCCCCCTCGTCCGGCCCGACAGTGGCTGGCCGCCTCTCCTCTTCGACGCCAGACAGAAAATGGCCAGGACAGAGGCTGGTCAGACGTGGCCTCCACCAGCCCGCTTGCGGCGGCGCTGGGGACCCCGCCGCCTCGAGGAGGCGCAAAGGCCTGCGCGCGGCGCGCAGCTCCTGCTCGTCCTCGCGCAGAGGCCTCGACGGCCCAGGGGGGGGGGTAAGCAGTGCGGGAGGGGGGGTCGACGCCCATCCACGGACCAATTTCCCCGGTCGCACCTTTCCGTCTCAGAATGGAACGCCTGCCGGCCCAGATGGCCTTCCAGGCGCTCTGCGCACCTGCGGTGCACCACCACAACACTTCAACAACCTACGAGGGTAGCCATGCCCCAAGTGCACACTGCACCTCAAGCACACGACTATCGCAGCCCCGTTGGAGCACAGCAGGGCGACGCAATTGTGCCTGAGGGCGTCTAGCTTCTCGAGAACAAGCTTGGGGGGTCCCTAGCGCATAAACCAGGAAGGGTGGGCCATTGCCACCCAAGAGCGACCCTTCAAACTCCTGGCGAGGCACCCCCTTAGCTACTCTCAGGCACTCCATACACTGCCAGGAAGAGGTTACTCGGGCCCACCCGTGGCCAGGTCCAGCAGGGGCATTGGGGCGAGGAGCTGCTTTGACAAGGTGAACATGTTAAGGTTCAAGCGGGGTCACCCAAGCACGAGCTCACCAGCGAGGCGCATGACGCGTGCGGAAATCCGAATGTACAACTCGAACCAGGCAGCATCACCAGGGTCGGGCTGGGGATGTCTAGCCAACATGGTATTGGCAATGTGGTCGGCTAGGTCATTGCCAGACTTTAACAACCGTTGTTGCTGAATCAGATCATCTGACTCTTCAACGTGCGCTTTGTTCTCACGTGCGCCGTCAACAAAAATCCGCCGACCCTGTCGGCGTGTGTGAGGGGCTTTTCCGTTCGAGCCGTCATCTCCGTCATTCTTTGTACTCGTCGTCTCTGTCCTTCCCTTTCCCTGGGAGACCTCTTCCCCTGGGCTCCAGCCAAGCCGACCTTGAGCAACCTCGTAATTGAGTCGAAGGGAAGCCCCTTCCCTTTGATCCCTCCCCCGCCGGGAGGGGGGGGGGGGTAGCGACCCCCCCCCCGGGTCAGATACGACGCCCCCCCCTGGGACTCCTCTTCCCCTGGGCTCCAGCCAAGCCGACCTTGAGCAACCTCGTAATTGAGTCGAAGGGAAGCCCCTTCCCTTTGATCCCTCCCCCGCCGGGAGGGGGGGGGGGGTAGCGACCCCCCCCCCGGGTCAGATACGACGCCCCCCCCTGGGACTCCTCTTCCCCTGGGCTCCAGCCAAGCCGACCTTGAGCAACCTCGTAATTGAGTCGAAGGGAAGCCCCTTCCCTTTGATCCCTCCCCCGCCGGGAGGGGGGGGGGGGTAGCGGGGGGGGTAGCGACCCCCCCCCCGAGTCAGATACGACGCCCCCCCCCCGTACCGACCTTGAGCAACGTCGTCATTGAGTCGAAGGGAAGCCCCTTCCCTTTCCCTTCCCCGACGGGGGGGGGAGAGGAGGTCCCGGGGGGGGTCCCGGGGGAGTCCCGGGGAAGTCCCGGGTCAGATACGACACCTCCCTCCCCCACCTTCTCGTCCTTCTCCCCGTTCCCCCAAACCATCCCACAGCCCGTGCCTCTTGCTGCGCATTGCGAACAGGGTCGGCGGCACCGGCCGTCAGGCCTTCGCAATCCCGTGGATGGGCAAAAAGAACCCATGGTACACGCGCTTGTAAGAGAGAGGAGAGAGAGAGAGAGAGAGAGAGAGAAAGAGAGAGAGAGAGAGAGAAAGAGAGAGAGAGAGAGAGCCCGCATCATTGGCTCAGTAACCTGGACAACCACATTCTCACAATCAGAATGCATGTAGCTGCCTCGCAAAGCCTGCGTGGCGGTGACGGCGTGAGCCCTCAGTTCGCCCCCTTGAATGACCAGCAAGTTGGGGGCCCAACGGGAGGAGCTGATGCGGCAGATCTCATCACCATCATCGCTAACAACTACAACCCCCCACCCCCACTAGGGAGTTCCTTCGCCGCGTGGCGAATACAATGAACGTCAGCTAAGAAGTTCCCAGATATGTTTGGCGACCGAACGAGGACCGTAAGCTCAAAGCACACGCAGTCCATTGCCACCGCAATCATCGCGAGCAGAAGGAAGGAAAGCATCGCTTGGATGCAGAAAGAGGCCACGAGTCTTCAACAAGGGGTCCTCCTCGCTACTAAGCGGGAGAGATCGCGAGGGGGACCTCGTGGAAAGTACCCTTGAAAGACTTGAGCACGCCCTGGCGTCGGTCATGATAGGCGAGGCAACACCAAAGCACGGTGTCCGGGCTGGCGCCACACAACGCACGCATAATGCCAACTTCGTATCCAGCCTCCGCGGCTGAGTTTCTGGTCCACGTAGCGTTGCAAGCGACTGCCTCAGAACATCCCCGTTGAAATTTGGTGCCTCGCTCGGAACAAAGGGCGGTTGCAGCGACGTCGCGACACACTCGAGCACCAAAAACACTATGAAGCAGAGCAGCTCCACTGACTCGTTCGTGGATACTCTGCGCAGCTGCCTGCAGCAGCTCCTCCAGGAGAGCAGGGGAAGTGACAGAAAGGGAAGCGTCGGCTCCAAGACCGCCCAATAACGTACAATCATTAAGCATGGACCAAAAGATCCGCGCCGCG